ACTATCGTGGGAGGGGCCTGTACAGAACTACGTCATTCTGACAGGAATCTCAGAACAGCCTGGTTTGAGAAAGGGGATTTTAAAATAGGGATTTAAAAAAAAAACACTGGCTGGATTTTTATAATTATAGGATGGATGTGTACACACACTTCCAACATACATTTATGTTCAAACAACTTGAAAAGTGAATTTTGCATCCGATGACCCCTTTAAGTTTGTGATGAGATGAGATGAGACATAACAGGAAATATAAGTGCAAGACAAGTGTGAGACACGAAAATGTTATGTCAGCTTTTTAGATGTCCTGGCTTCTTAGAAACGCATCTGGAGGACATAGTTAGGCACCTTAAATGGACATATATGTTCAATATGCATTGTGATTGGATGAGATCAAAGCATCCGCATTTGATGAAGGTATAAATGTTGTATGCATTATGACACTCTTTGTCACACTCTGCAGCCAATCTGTATGACTGTTGACCTTTCTTGCAAGAAAATAAATCTTCAAAAGACTTTTGTCTCATACTTTTATTGCAATAGAAAATTGCCACAACAATCCCAAACATGTTTAATATTTACGACTCTTGATCGGGCTGCCTCTGACGTGATACTCGCAATAGCCAATGAGAGCGAGCAAACGTCATCTATAGCTGAAACTAGGCAGCCACAAACATGCCATGAAAGTAGAGTATTGAGAAAGTACATATGACCCATATTCTTTTTTTCTCCGTTTTTGTGAGAGAGCCAGTTGACCATGTCGATTGTCCTCCTTTTGTTTTTCATCTCGAGTCACGTTTGATCTCGCGAGTTTCCGTGAGATCTCGTGTCACTGTGAAATCGTTCCTACAATCAACAAGTGTGTGGTCTCGTGGTCTGGTCGAATCATCCAGAGCATGCGTTCAGATGATTATAAGGCTGAGAATCGGTTGAAACTGTCTTCATATCTGTTAAGATTTGAAAATCATCTGTGTCCCAGGCCTAAGACATCGATTTATCGTCAGGAGCCACAGGGTATTAAATGTGTCTTGTCTGTATAATGTTTTTTTGTTTTTTTGACTCTCAAGTGCCGGTAGTCACTGATTTGCATTTTGTTTCTCCAACAAAAACAAATAATTTCTAAATGAATCAACATTTTTGACAAACAAGTTGAATGAACGATTCAGTGCCTCAGTCATAAAGACAGTCACTTGTTTCGTTCTTGAATGAATGCAGAGAATTTGAACAATTCTTCTGAGTGAATGATACATTATTAAAGACAATTAAGTGCCGGACACACTACACTTTCCATTCCATTGACTTCCATTCATACGCATGAAAAGTTGTTTCACATTCCGTTGCATTCCAAAGTTCAAGTTTGGTGAACTCTGACCTGCTGATTCATATCACATGAAACTGTGTGATAAACAGAAGATTGATACGTCACAGCATGACCTCGTAGCTGAATTAAACGAACATAAATTTAAAACTGCAGCGCTGCAGGAAAGTGGAGTAGATTGTATGTTTTTCCATTTTGGATTTATTATGTTATAACATTTGTTGTGTTGAATTTAAGTTTTTAAAAAGACACTGCAGAGCGTGATATCACGACAGTTGCCGTGTCCGAATAAATTTTGCATGCTGAAAGTCTAGTGTGACTAAAAACACACCTCTCTCCACCTTCTGGTTTAATGATTTAACCTACAAAAAGAGTCACTGAAAAGTAAAAAAACAAGTGGAGTCATACAAACAATGAGTGCTATTGGACTGTACCAGCACTTGTATCGACCAATCAGATCTGAGGACCAGAACTAACTGCATTTGAGCACATTTTGCAAGTGAAAAGACTTGATGGTACTTTAATTAATGAAAAATATTAATGTAATTGGTAACACTTTATTTTGATGGTCCCTTTTGAACATTCTGTTGACAATAAGTAATGTTGCACCTACATGTCTACTAACTCTCATCAGAGTATAGTCAACAGAGTGTGTTAAATGGACCATCAAAATAAAGTGAAACCATGTAATTAACCATAGAAGGTGTGAGATCGTCAGTAGCATGCATGAGTAATCTTAGCATTGTCTCTATATCAACAGCTGTGGTGGCACACTTGATTAAAAGCATGCTACACTGGGGTCAAGAACATGGAATTTATTCCTTGTATTTGAAAAAGTACTCAAAAAAATGAAGGAAGCATGTTAACTTTCCAAAAGGTTTCCTTAGGAGCTTTTACATAATTCCCAAAACTATACTGAGCATGCAACCGCAATCTATGTTACTTAATTCAATAAAGTGAAAAGGTTTAGAGAAAATCAAATGTTTAAACTGTTTTCAGATGCCAGGCCTGACCAGATGTTTTCTGCAGAGTTCTAATGTCAATCAGAATTGAATTGGATTGTATGAGCAATTAAGGACAGCTGTGTATGTATAAGAACCGTTTACTTGAAGATGATACTTTACCTCAACGGAACATGCTAGACATGTGGATTAATAAATTTGCTGTGATAGGGAGAAATGTTACTCATGGAGCTGCAGATGGAGGCTTATGGAGTACTCTACACTAAGAAGGCTTAGTCAAACAGATCACGGATTTAACTTGGAGATTTTCAATACATGTGAAAATAGACTGGGACTTCCAACTCTTTCCAGAGTGAGATGTCAGATTTCACGCTATTTTAAGAAACTTAAATTGGAAACCTTAATAAGATGAAATGTAATTTTACTTGCTAATTGAACATATAAATTTGAAATGAGTCAAAAAGCAACTTTTCAGCAAAAGGTCCACCATTTCAGCAAAAATTTTGGTTGTAATTGTTACTCTATAATCATACTGAGTGGCTACATGGAATCTGAATATACACCCTGGTCTCATTGTTTATTAAAGATAAACATTAATGAGCTGTTGAGTACTGAATGAATGGATCACCCATAAATGAAAATCTGATGAAAATTTAGTCACCCTCAGGCCATTCCAGATGTAGATGAGTTTGTTTCTTCATCAGAACAGATTTGGAGAAATTTAGCATTCCATCACTTGCTCACCAGTGGATCCTCTGCAGTGAATGGGTGCCGTCAGAATGAGAGTCCAAACAGCTGATAAAAACATCACAATAATTCACAGGTAATCCACATGACTCCATTCCAACAATTAACATCTTGTGAAGTGAAACAAGTACAGGATCCAGATTTTTTTTTTTTTTGGACAAGTGTCTACCCAACACAGAACTAAAATCAATTAATGTTTAGTTTTCTTCATTTGTTTATGGTTTCTAATTTGGCTAGCACATAGCCTACCAAGTGACAGATGAATTTGCACAAGTGCTAAATAAATAAAATATATAGAATAAACGCAAGTTTTGACTGGACATACTAGATGTCAACAATGAAAGATTTGGGCATTTGTTTGTATATCATGTTTTTTGACTGCTTGTTTTAAAGTCATAATGACAACATTTACATTTGCAATCTGTTTACATTTGTTTTCCTTTACTTTTTGAATGTGTATGTGTGCACTTTTGAATGAGAAAGCCAAATTTTGTTGTACAGCCTCCATGAAAAAGAGAAATATGATGTGCTGTCACCTCTGGTGTCAAATGTGGGAACTTGGAATAAGCCCTACATCTGTCATCTGACTTCACAATCAAAATCGTCATCTGATGAGTTTGTGAACTAAGCATAAAACAAGATTAGACAAAGAGATGTGACTGACTAATAATTGGAGAGAGATTTTATCCAACACAGTTTTAATTAATGGTCTAGACATTTCCTTTCAGCCGCCATCAACCTCATCAGTCAGTGTCATCATATATTCACTCATGTGAGCCAGATTTGCTCCATTGCCTCAAAAACCTGAATTTGGAATCCATTAAGTTCCACAGTAAATTGTTTTTCAAATATTGAATCTTGTGTTGTAGAACATTCACAAATGTCACACCCGTTAGACTGTCTGTGTGTGTTTTCCATCTCCACGTGCTCCCCCTGACCTAGTTTCCTCGTGTGTGACATGTCCTTATTTGGTGTTCCTGTTTCCTGTTCTCATTTTGTTCTATTTGATTCAGCTGGTTATCGTTTAGTTCCTTATTATATAAACCCAGTGTTTCCAGTGTCTTATGTTCGGCATTGAATGTCCTCCTGAGTTCCATAGTGGTATTCCGTTTGTTTGTTTGATTAAAGACTGTGACTTGAAGCAATTCCCGCGTTTCCTCGTCTCCCCGCTCCGAGTGAAGTTGTGACAAAAAATGGTTTATCTAGATTAATTTGACAGTTGCAACACCTAGCAAATGAAATCAAACAAACCTAAAGGTCAAAGAATGTGCCAATTAGCTAAAAAGAAAAACAGTTAGAAGAATAATAGATAAAGGGTTGTGGTCAGTGATTTAATAAATTCTAAATTATCTAAGTGTGGCCTATGGATTCTAAAGAAGCAGCACCGGATACAAAAAATATCTTTTAGGGGCTTTATTCTGACGGCTGTCTCTCAGAAGGACAGCGATCAATGGGAGTAAATACAGATAAAAAATGAATAAAATAAAGTAAATATTATGTCTCTGTTGTGCTTATTTGACAAAACAAGAGATTAAGCACTGATTTCAAAATCTGATAAATTCAGTACAGGAAGAGTCACAACCTTCATAAAAGTTCAGATATCGGAAAATTCAGTCTTTCTGAATTGCACTAGAATGAAATTAAATGGAGTAAAATTAAATAAAATGAAATAAAATACGGTAGAGGCTAATATTTGAATAAAAGGAAAACAGTACATTAGCCTACTTTTACAGACATCAATTCCTGTTTGTTGCTGCCGTGTGTTTTGAGTTTGAGCTCCGTCAAGTTAATTCTTTATCGTCTATTTTTTTATCTTAAAATAATTTTATACACCATCATTTTCGTTTCTATAACATGTGAATATATCCCCTATCGTATTCTACAACAAAAACAATCAGAGCGCCTTGTTATCACTAGTTCTAATTTGATTTCCCGAGTCCGCTATTAGCATATCGCCAGCGTGGTTGCCGCTAATCTCGCTTACATTGCTAATACTTCAGTACTATGATACGGTCCTCACAGATACCATTTTTCTCTAATAAGGAATATAACATCCCGGGCTGACACTCACAAGTCCGGGGTAAGTATACAGCGCGCTGCTAACTTTCCCACCTCCTGTACTCCGTGTGTTTCTCTGCACAGGCCCGGTGCACCCAGGACGCAATCTTCCCAGATGTCCTTCACTCCGGCGCCGGGACACCAGGGACCCTGGGTGCACCCGCAGTGGAAGACGCGAGCCAGGTCCTATTGTAGAAACTTAATTTGCTGTAAAGTTGCTTTGCAACGATTTGTATCGTGAAAAGCGCTATAGCGCTTGAATTGAATTGAATTTAACTTTGGTTAAATCAGTAGCTAATTTTACGTTTTTTTTTCAGATATTGAAAACATTAAGTTCCTCTTCAGGAACTCGAGCTGCATCGGAGGACGCTTTGGGAACGCCCTTCAGCATGACCGGCTCTGAACCCTGTGTGTAATCAGTCCAATAGATGGGCGAGACATCACAGGCGGGTGACGTAATGACCAGGAAGCTATAAAAGCAGGTGCGGTGAAACCGGCGTCAGCTTTCTGTCATTCAGCAAGCGCTCTGTGTGTTTGTCAGTCTGATATCCATTTGTGAGTCTTATTTGATGTTGTTTGTCCATAATGTCAGAAGCACAAGATAAAAAGAAGCACATAACCAAGGGCGAGGGCAGGCAGCGTTTCAGGCTGTGTGTTCCTCCCTGCTCATGTTATATTACGGGTGGGGATACACACAGTTTGTGCGTTGTCTGCCTGGGAGCGGAGCATGTCTCTCGTTGCATGTTCTCCGCTCCCAGAAGGCTCTCTTTGTGGAGGGAGCCTTCTCTAGCGTTCCCCGCGGCACTGGTCCCGCTTCCGTCGAGGCGGAGCGGCGATTACGCTCATGGGGTTCGCAGATGGAACTGGTGGAGGGAATGGAGACGGGCGAGTCCCTATCTTCTTCCTCACCCCCCAGATCCAGCGCCCATTCTCTGGGATCGGAAGCCCGCTCTGCGGTTACTTACCCCCGGGGAACGGGCTCGACGCTCCGCCTGTCTTCCTCTGAGGAGGTTGATGTGGTGGGACTCATGAGGGCAGACCCCTCTGGGGTGGAGCGGGTTTCACCGGGTTTTCACCCCTGCCCGTCTCGCCTCAGTGCCCTCAGGAGATCGGTTAACCCTGCCGGAGTTACAGTGCGCAGCTGTATCCCGCGAGCGCCTTTGCTGTAAAGTTGCTTTGCAACGATTTGTATCGTGAAAAGCGCTATAGCGCTTGAATTGAATTGAATTTAACTTTGGTTAAATCAGTAGCTAATTTTACGTTTTTTTTTCAGATATTGAAAACATTAAGTTCCTCTTCAGGAACTCGAGCTGCATCGGAGGACGCTTTGGGAACGCCCTTCAGCATGACCGGCTCTGAACCCTGTGTGTAATCAGTCCAATAGATGGGCGAGACATCACAGGCGGGTGACGTAATGACCAGGAAGCTATAAAAGCAGGTGCGGTGAAACCGGCGTCAGCTTTCTGTCATTCAGCAAGCGCTCTGTGTGTTTGTCAGTCTGATATCCATTTGTGAGTCTTATTTGATGTTGTTTGTCCATAATGTCAGAAGCACAAGATAAAAAGAAGCACATAACCAAGGGCGAGGGCAGGCAGCGTTTCAGGCTGTGTGTTCCTCCCTGCTCATGTTATATTACGGGTGGGGATACACACAGTTTGTGCGTTGTCTGCCTGGGAGCGGAGCATGTCTCTCGTTGCATGTTCTCCGCTCCCAGAAGGCTCTCTTTGTGGAGGGAGCCTTCTCTAGCGTTCCCCGCGGCACTGGTCCCGCTTCCGTCGAGGCGGAGCGGCGATTACGCTCATGGGGTTCGCAGATGGAACTGGTGGAGGGAATGGAGACGGGCGAGTCCCTATCTTCTTCCTCACCCCCCAGATCCAGCGCCCATTCTCTGGGATCGGAAGCCCGCTCTGCGGTTACTTACCCCCGGGGAACGGGCTCGACGCTCCGCCTGTCTTCCTCTGAGGAGGTTGATGTGGTGGGACTCATGAGGGCAGACCCCTCTGGGGTGGAGCGGGTTTCACCGGGTTTTCACCCCTGCCCGTCTCGCCTCAGTGCCCTCAGGAGATCGGTTAACCCTGCCGGAGTTACAGTGCGCAGCTGTATCCCGCGAGCGCCACTCTCAGTCACCGCCCGGGAACGTAGCGGTGCTAAGAGGCTCGCCACCTTCGCGGAGGTCTATAGAGCAGCTGGTTCGGTTGTCCCCTGCCGGTCTGCCGTTACAGGGCACCGAGCTAGCTGCTCTCATTACACCAGAGGTCAGTCTCGAGAGACTGATTCCCTTAGTAGGCAGTGTGGAAACTACTGCCAAATGTGTCTCAGTGGGTCCTGCACACTGTAGAGAGAGGCTACAGAATCCAGTTTGGGTCTCCTCCACCTCGTTTCAACGGGATTACTCCCACGCTGGTGGGCCCCGAGCAGGCTCTGGTAATGGAACAAGAAGTAGATACTCTTTTGAGGAAGGAGGCCATCGAGGTGGTCCCTCCTCGCGAAGGAGAGTCCGGGTTCTACAGCCGGTACTTCATAGTTCCGAAGAAGGATGGAGGGTTGCGTCCCATTTTAGATTTGCGT